TCCTCTTTCAGTTTAAAATCATTGCCTGTTGTCCTGTCGGTACAGGCCTCAGTATAAAGTCTTCCTCCATCTTTCCTATAAGCTCCCTTTATCTATCAAAAAGCTGCAGTAAGATCTCCATAAGCCTTCTTTTTTCCAGGCCGAATCATAGAATTAGAATCACAGAATACCTCAAGTTGGAAAGAACCCATAAGGATCATTGAGTCCAACTCTGTTAAAAGGAGGACTACTTAAAACTAAACCATATGACTAAGAATATTGTCCAGATGTTCCTTGAACTGTAACAGGCTTGGTGTCACAACAACTCCCCTCGGGAGCCTGTTCCAGTGACCAGCCACTCTCTCAGTGATGAACCCTTCCCTATCGTCCAATATGAACTTCCCCTGATGCAGCTTCATTCTATTTTCTCATGTCCTATTGCTGGTCACTCTCCACAGCATTCCTTGAGGCAGCTTTAGACTGCCATGAAGTGACCCCTCAGCCTTCTCCAAGCTGAACCTCAGCCACTCCTCATAAACCTTGCGCTCAAGACCTTTCGCCATCTTGGTCAAACTCTGGACAGACTTTAGTCGTTTGTTGCCCTTATAGCAAGGCACCCCCAACTGCACCCAGTACTCCAGGTGGGGCTGCACCAGGGCAGTGCAGAGTGGGACAGTCACATCCCTCGACCAGCTAGCGATGCTGTGCTGGATGCACCCCAGGACACAGTTGGCCTCTTCAGCTGCCAGGGCATGCCATTGACTCATATTCAACTTGCCATCAACCCAAACCCCCAGATCTCTTTCCACGGGGCTCATCTCCAGCCTCTCATCCCCCAGTTTGTGCATATAACCAGGATTAGCCTATCCCAGGCAGAGAATCCATCACTTGCTCTTGTTAAATTTCATATGGTTGGTGATTGCCCACCTCTAGTCTATCCAGATCTCTCTGTAAGGCCTCTCTACCCTCGAGGGAGTACACAGCTCCTCCTAATTTAATATCATTGTCAAATTTACTCAATGTACACTTGATTCCTGCATCTAGAGGATTTAGAAAAACATTAAAGAGCACTGACCATAAAATTGAGCCAGGGCAACCCCACTACTGACTGGTCACCAACCTGATGCAACGCCATTTTTATACATCTTTTCAAATCATTGGCAATTGAGTAATGTAGACAGGAAGTTGGGCAGACCTGAACAGACAGTTTGAAAACCTAGACTCATAAAGTCCATGCAATCCTGATAAGTCTTCCTTTTTGATAACAAGCTGGTGGCCGTGGCCTTCTCTCACATTTCCATTATAGGAAAAAGGATGTGCTGAAAGAATACAAGACTTTTCTTTTTTTTTCCCTCAGAGAAGAACTAAACCAAAAATTGTATTGAGAATAGAAGGGGATCGTAACACTGTGCAACATCTGGGAGAGAGGTTGAGGGAAGACAAATGCAAGATGGTGTTACTGTGTATGTAACACAGCCTCATGCCCGCTGGCACCCGGGAAAGGGGAGGGCTGACTCATCCTGCCTAAGATCTCATGGTAGGAGAAAGACCCACAGCATACTTTTCTCTACAGGTTCAGTGCAGAAACCATTATCTATCCCAGAAAACGGCTCTCGAGGGCTGTGAAAATAAAGGAGATGAAGATTGTCCAACATTACATCAACTTTCAAGCCCCTGTAGTGAGCAGTTGCGTCAAAATTCACATCCACAAAAATAACCCACCTCGCCCATAGATGCTTATTTGGGGACTTGTTTTTTAAGACAAGCATTTCAGACTTTGATGACTGCTTAGAGTGGCAGGAGTTGATGAGGTCCTCCTCTGCATATTCCTTTCATCGTCTTTGGTAATTACAGATGAAGACAACTTTGGCATAGGGTTGCTATTCTTTCTGTCATGGATTATTGCAAAGCTTCTAACTCTAGCTGAGCACAAACACACATCTACTTTAGACCTTTGAGGGGGGAAAATTGAACTAAGTCCCTCTACAAACTGGAGCCTGGAGAAATAAATACCAGGGGTTTGAGTTGTTTATGTTAAAGAGAAGTGAATATTTTAATATATTAAAAGTTGTTAACCTCTTTAAGAAACTTTACTGAAAAAAAAGTGACTACATTTGAAGAATGAAACATGATTCCTAATAGCTTGCTTTTGTTTCATATTCACATGATAATAATTACCTGTCATGCCAAAATTTCAGCTACTTTTTTCCTCTACAAAATCTCCTGCAGTGTATAGACAGCAGAGAAGACTAAAAGTACCTCTTACTGCATTCTTTGTGTGCTTTCCAAGATGAACTTGCCATTTTGGGTGACTTTTGACTTTTCTAACTGGCTGTGTTCTCTTCGTTGATATGAATTCTCATTTATACCCTGCAGAAGGGATGTGTAGTGACTGTATCTCATAACACAGTCTCACTTATCTGCTGTCGTTCTTCCTTGCCTGTGAAATGCTCTGTTCTGTGGCATTCCTCAAAACATCCACACTGAGATACGCGACTCACCTTAGGAGAAAACCTAGCCTGGCCTGGGCCTCTTGTTATGCAAGATGCTGTGTATTTCACTCTAGCAGGATTAAGTTCACTACATGGTTTCAGCTTACATATTTTAAGCATAGACAGGGTCAGAAACAGAATTTATTTTTAGAAATCAAAATACATGTCCCTGAAAAGCTGATTTTTCTCCCCCGCCCCCCCCAGTCCTATGATTTTGAATCCAAAATAAGTACTTGAGCTTAAGAGAATGTGGAATACTGTCCTGAAGCAGCATAATTCTGAAACACAAACACTACTCTGCAAATCTATTGTGAAAATATGTCAGTTCAGGCTGAAAGAAGTTTGCTTGCTTTTGGCTGATGGTTGATAACCGGGAAACTAATGATCTTAAACAACAAAACCCCAAAGTTTGGTCTTGGAGTGGGGACAAGTGGAGTTTTGCAAGAGTGGTTCACAGTGTTCGTGAGTCATCACAGTGCTAGCTGCATCCAGAACTGCACATTTTTTTCTGAACAATCCTGGCTAATAGCCGAAGGAGGGAAATTGGAATTAAAAACTGGATAGTTCTGTGGCATTTTTCTAATTGAAGTACCTATTCTTTTCCCTAATGAAAAGAATAAGAGAAAAGCAAGTGTTATTTTTCATTTCAAAACAGGCAGTATGAAGAAACTGAGAAAAGAAGAAAACATGAGGCAGCTGATATAAAGAAAGTTTAAATTTCCCTGGCAGTTCAATGGTTCTGAGATTAATAAATTACAGTAATTGAAATCGTGGTAGCAGCGGGTCTGTGTGAAGCAAAGAAACATCTGATGGGTTGTATGGCATGTATCAATATTGCCCAACAAGCTGTTCAGTGTGGTGTACAAGGCCTGCACTAGGACTGCCTGAATGCACAACTGGGATGGGGGGTGGTTCTTGGAGATTTTTAAAGGGGTTTTTTACTTCAGAGCCTATTCTGAGTATGATTTTTATCATTGTGTTGCTAAAACTACTTTGTTTCCTAGATACTCTGTTCACACTTTTCACTCCTGTGCATGCTTGCAATGATCGAAATTTACTTGAATTAATTATCTAACATTACAAAAGCATTGAATTAGTGGTATTTCTATTATGCTTTTAGTAGCATCCTTTATATGACGGATATTACATAACAGAATATGTTATCTTTCTGCTTACAGTTCTTCCGGAAAAGTAATAGGGTTTATTTTCTCATTTTTCTTCTCTTATGATAATTTACATCACCATGATATGTTGGCAAAACTGTGTTTTGCCTGGATTTTTGAACTCACATAAGTATAAATTACTACTGGACAAATTTCACAATTAGGTATTAGGTCTTGTGGATAAAGGTGGGAGGAAGGATGACTTCAAAAATTTAAAGGACTGTTCAGTTTATTTTAGAGTTAACTCAGTATGGAAAAAAATTCTGTTAAAAAAGAAGGAAAAGAAGGAAAAAAGAATGACACAAATGCATGCCAATGCTGTCTTTCTCTTGGATAGTTCAAAATGTTTTGGATTCAAAAATTCAGTCTTGATAGGCATTTAGTCCTCAAGGAATGTGTTCTTGTTAAATCCTAGCCAAAAAAAGAAAAGGAAAAAAAAAAAAAAAGAAAGGGAGGAGGGGGAAGTTGTGAAATTAAGAAATTAAGAATGTAAGGAGTTCTGTTCTTTTGAAGTATAACCTTTAAAATCAAAACCCTGCATTCTGAATTATACTGAGGACCTCCGCAGAGTATGCTGCTTAAACTCATAAACCACATGAAACTTCACCTAAGTTCAAATACTCAGAATATGCACTGCTGAGTGCTAAAAAGATAGCTGGGTGTTGACCTTTCTTCTGGGAGTCCTGCCAACATCAGGGCTGGTATGGGTCTGCTGTGGGGGAAAAGGAGGAGAGCCATGGAGAATACAAGTCAGGGCGGTGCTCTCCTTCACCTCAGCTGGGCTCAGCTTCTCTTTTGATGTTGCTCTGAAGCAGCGATCTGGGGGTTCATGGGGCTGGTGGATTGGAGAGGAGTTTTATTCTCTCCTTCTTCCCTCATATCAAATTGGAAAAAAATTGGTCCTGCTATCCTTTCGTTTAGCACCGCTGCAGACAGGTTTCCTTCCTCCCAGCACACAGGTTGTTCCCCAGCAGGCAAAGGCTGGCTGCTCAGCCTCTGTCATTGCTAAGGTGTGTGCATGGGTAGATGCAGAGCTGTACCCTTGTGAAATCATTGGGGATAGCTGGGAGGCATGGGGCATTAGTAGTGTGATTCAGATGTTGATTTCTAGCAAAGTTCTGTGCTCCAACCTCATTTATAAGCTGATGCCACCTTCTAGAAACTAATTTTTAAAGCAAAGGTAGGAAACTGAGGAATTATAGAATTCCTATCTCAATACCTGTAAAGAGATAGAGAGTCCTTTACTTTGGGGAAAAGGGTGGTGGGGGGTTAGAGATCTTTGTAGAAAGATGCTGACACAGTAAATATTATGTGTTTGCTTTTTATATTAAGCTATTAATGGTTTGTTTTTAATTTTTGGACACAGGACCTGTGAAGGGCGAAACATCCGGTACAGGACATGCAGCAATGTGGTAAGTAAAGAATAGCTTTGGTTTGATACAAATAATCACAAGCAGTCATGTCCCTATTAATAAAATAATTTGGTAACGTGAAGTGAGAATATTGTAGCTATCTAAATTGCCTTTGTGCCACAGGATCTTTTGTCAGTTTCTTGAAAAGATAGAGAGATTATGGCATAGCATGATGCTAAAACTTGAAGGAATTGCAGTCACAGCCTTTCCAAATAGAGTGAAACTTCAGAGTTACTCTTTCCAACTTCCCTGGCAGAATCAAGAGCACTCATGTTCCCAGTATTACTTTGGTAACCAGCTGGTTCATACTGGGCAGTCTGTCAGGCTGGAGAATTAAGCTGTTTAAGGACTGAAGACAAATTAGTAAGTATATGTTTTTGTTCACCTATGCCCTCCCAGCATTGTAATTTTGTTGCAAGTCTTAGAAAAGCAATTTTAGATAGCCTGCACCAGCATTTTGGCCTTTCCAAAGGCTCTGTCTTGTGTTTTATATATGGTGAATATAATTTTCAATACAATAAAATAAGCAACTTTAACTTCTGTGCTCACGAAAGTGAAAGTGTGTTTTCACTGGTGAAAATGGAAATAAAGATTTTCATACGGAAAGCTTTATTGGGTGCCAAGAATAGTAAAAGCTCTCAAATTACATGGAGAAATGTCAGTTTTACCAGTAAAGATGGAAAATGAAATCAAACGTGCACTGGGCCAAGCTTTCTCATGCCTGATAGGGTCGTATTAAGAAGCCTTTCAATAGATGCTTTGTCTATAAATGTTTAAAAGTTTAAGTTAGAAAACTGAATACATTCCCTCGTATTTACCTTATATTTTCTTCAGCAGACCACAGTTCTTAATGAAAGAAACTGCTTCTGTCTGAGCTGTAGTCTTCCATGCAGCAAGATTTCTCACACTTCCTCTGAAATTTCTTATGGATGTATCCTTTGTCTTCCTATCAGTCTATGCATCTGCTTCAGTAGCTGACAACAGGTAGAGAAATCAGTAAATAGGTCTGCTGGCTGATTAAGAGTCTAATTTCCATCTCTGAGGCACTGAGGCTACACTACATTTGTGGAGGGAATGTGAATATTGATTTGTGCCGGTCAAATTGAGTGCTGCAATGCACACACACACAAAAAAGCCGATAAAACCAACCAAAAAACCCAAACTATTAAAGGTTAATTGAACTAAATTAGACTACAGTTAGACCCATCAGTTCTGTTTGGGTTTGTGAAAGCATACGTGTTGAGACAGTCCCTTTCCCATTCTGACCTGACCTTGTGTATGCTAAAAGCAATGAGACAAACTAGCATCCTTCTCTGCTGCCAGTAGCTATTCCTGGATCACCCTGGTTAGAGGACAGAGTTTTACTTGTGTTACCACTGTTATTTTGTAATCACTGAGCTTAACTTTCCAAGATAAGGAATAGTTTTTAAAATGTTATTTTTTAGCTCACGTTCCATTTTGGAAATGTGCACCCGAATAGTTTTCATTCAAAACAAAACCTTGCATAGTTTTGTCAGGCGATTCCTTTACATACCTTGTATTTGGCAATACTGGCTCCAGACTTGCCAATGTAGCAGTGAGGCATGCAGCTGTAGAACTCACTTAATTGCTTAATACCAAATCATTAAAACTGAAAATTTAGAAGTGCTTTGCTATGCTGAAATCAATGGCAGTTTGCCCCTGATTTACGAAGACCCAGGACAGGATTTAGGATTTTAACCCCTTTTTCAGAGAGGGTGGATTGTGCTACGTTGCACTTTTCCTTAATAAAAGAATTAATTCTTAATAAAATTATTAAATTAGTTTTAATCTTTTCCTCTTGGTAAACTTGCAAAACTAGCAGTAAATGAAACTATTCTCAAGCTTATGACTTTGACCACGCCCTCCAAATATAGCTTTATATCATAAAAAAGTACTTGACTGTATTAATTTCATAGACATTTGATTTCAGGGGACAGTATTTTCTATTTTTAAAATATGTTGAGTCTCTGATTGAGATGTTATGCCCTTTCACTTATCATCTTTACTAATCTGAGATAATGTGCACCAGTACTCAAAACATCAGTCAGTGCAAGAGCACTGCCACCATGATCTATATCAGAACTTGCAGTAGGATCCTGCCACAGCTGTGGTGATCCTCAGCCCATGTTTCTGTGGCTAGGTATCACTTTGAAATACCTTGTGCAGCACCAGTGGAAACCTAAGGCAACTTGGGAATCCCAGATGTGCATCTCTGCTGAAATCCATTGTTACTGAATGGTGTAGCTGTACCACTGAAGTACAGTTTGTCCCTTTTAGAATAGTAAAACAATATCATATGCTTTCTCTTTAATGAAGCCTGTCTTTGTCTCCACAATCCAAGGATACATACACACAAATTGCAGCTTGGAAACAATTCATTAACCCCATGGCTTGTTGTAGAATTCTGCACTGAAAAAGGCATGTAATATTATATTTTTGTTAACTCAGACTTTGCCTTTTAAGATTTCATCCACAAAGACTCTGAAAATTAGCAGGACAAAACTTCCAGGCTCAATGAGACCTTTGTTTTCATCTCTTAGATGACTGTCTGTTGCATTAAAGGAAAATGAGGGCAAATCCCCGCATTCTACCCCTGTAAATTAATCTTGCTATCATGCGTTGTGGAAAATTACTTTTTGATTCTTATGGAAATCAGCAAGTCCTTAAATACAAGCTTTCATTGCCATTAGTTTGTGCATAACTTGAGGACATTATTGTTCATAAAATAATTAGTCTTTTTATTTTCTGCAAACTGTCTTTCTTTAAACTGACATGTTTTTATTTATATGACTGTCCTCTTAAAGAAAGGATGGATAGTCACATATGCTAAAAGCAAACTCTTTATTTCAAAGGTGAAATTGGAGAATAGGAAGAATACTTCTTGGAATCTGGCAATGAAATAGACACTATCATTTGCAAGATTTTGCTACAGCTGGTTTTAATTCATCCTGAAATTAAATTACAGGGTGGAGAGGAGGAGAGGAATGAGATAAAGAAAAATAGAGGCAAGGGGAGAGAGTGGCATGTCTGTTTCTTCAGTGACATATGTTATTCTAGGGACTCTGAACCATTTTGCATAGTACAGACCGTAAGAGAGATTGATTTTGCTGTCTACAAAGCTTCTGAACAGTCCTCAAAAGAACAAATCCAGTCCAGTATGTTCACCATTTGCATTGCCTGGTGTTGATCAGAAACTGGAAAGATTTTGGGTATGAAACCACATGTGTAAATAGTAAAAGAAGGAATGAGGGAATCTGAAGATGATTTAGGGTTGAATTGCATCTGCTTTTTTTCTTCTTACTTTTCATATTGACTCCAAGTATGTTTCCAGCCATTTTAGAATATAATCATGGGAGGGAGAGAGAGGGAGTAATTTGTTTTTCTTTAGAAAATTACTCTGAATGCAATGAAAACATGTTTTTATATCTAGCTGGGTTGTTGTGCTAAACTTTATTCAAAATAAACAAAGATATTTCCAAACTGCAAATAGGATTTTTCTACTTTTTTTCCTTTTTTTCAAGGTAGCATGCTCTATGTTCCTTCTTCTATGCACATTCTTAGTCTCCAGGTCTTTGACAGATTTTGTACCAGGATATCTTACCACCTCATCTGCCCTTTCTCTTCCCATATTCACATGAAATTCTCTCTGAAGGATATTTGCTGGAATGTGTACTGCCTTCATGCCTTCTCTCTTCATTCTCTTCAGTTATCAAGACTTCTTTTTGTGATTGAAACCATTTTAATTTTCCTTGATATTTTTCCTTTTATTACACTGCTTTCTGAATCCAACCAGGGGAAGGGAAGAAAAAAAAAAAAAAAGAAAAGAAAAAAACCCCCGAGAGGTGCATGAAACTGGCACTTCATTCCCAAAGTACTTTGCTTTTCATATTTACTTGATTATATCTGCCAGCATGATGATGAACACCACATATAAAGCTGCTCATGAGATTTTGCTCTTTGACATGAAAATAGACAATGCTGGAGGCTGCACAACATTACTAGCTGTTTCAACAAGGTTTACAGCAGTTACCTTAAGCCTGAGATAAAATCTGTAGATGCTAGATCACATTAATCAGACCACCAAAACTCATAAACACCACCTGCAACACTTTTTTATATATACCTCACTTTCTTCACTTGGCTGAAATACCAGCTGTGATGACATTCCCCATTTTTTGGCTTACATTCAGACAAGCTACTTCCATCCCTGTTTCTTATCAGCTCATGCTTCATTTTATACACACCAGCCTAGATACTGCCCATCTTGCTTTTGACAAAATGACACTACCTTCTTTTCATTCACTAAAGGCTAGCCTGTTGGAAAGTGTCAAATTTAAACTTTTTGTAAGTGTGTAAATCTCCAGAAGCATTGTCTTCTGTGTGTGTGAAAACCATTATCACCAGGTAAAATTTTTTCAGAGCTACAAAAATGAATAGCAGGATTTAATTTTCTACCCTCTGGTGGCTGGAAATGCCAAGTGAAGTCTTTTGCAATCAGACCTCAAACCTACCAGTTTACATTTCACAGTAAAATAAAATAAAAAAATAATAAAAAGAATTAAAAAATAGTATAAACACTACACATTATCTCCTTACAGACACCAGATTTACTTAATGTGACAATTCTTCCAAACTCAGATCATTTAATGTAACTACAGACTGTTTATCAAAATGCTGAATTTTAATAACTTTAATAACTACAATCTCATTTCTGAATGGGTGCATTTTAAAACTTCAGTGTGTCATCTAGGAATTATTTCTTTGTACTCAGAAACCAGTGTTTTTAGTATATTGCTAATAGTAGCAGCCTTGGCTTCTGGATTTGTTACCTGAAGCAAGCAAACAGACCTGAAAACAGAACAAAAAAAATACCCCAAAAAACACTACCACCATTTTGTGTAAATGCATAAAGAATCTTTGTGGATCAGACAATCTGTATCACTTCCATCACAGTGGCATTTCAGGAGTCTGCTCAGGACTCTTCAGGACTGTGGATGATTCACAGATTTAAATTCAATATTTCTGATAATAATTTTTAATAATTTATTTTAATATCTCTTTTTGTTCTGCCAGTGTGGCACCAATGGTGGTTTTAGGAAAGTGTAATCTAATATTATGTATTTGTATTAGTTTTTGACTGAAATATTTGGAAGTTTTTCAATCCAAAATAAGTTATTGTATCTACTGTCAACATTTCACTTAATATTTAAAAGGTATGAACAAACAAAAATTTAAAATGGTATGAAGAGCTGCATATTGAATTATTTGCCCCCCCAAATTAGTATATACTTTAAAAGAAGAAAATAAGGTGCTTTTTTTGTAAAATTTTATTTTATAAACATTTCTAATGACAACTGTTCATGGAGGTTTAGATTTATACTTCACTGACTGTTTCAGCCCTCATCTCCACTCCATGTTTATTTAATACAGAGTAGAAGCATCTGCTGATATTCCCCCATTTACTTTGTTCATATTATTTCTCTCATACTTCTCTTTGTCAAATATTTTGCCGTGTCTTGGGGTTGTCAGAGAAAGCTATAGTATGAGCCCCTCTGGATCTAAGCAGCTAAGCATGATCCTAACCTATTTAAAAGTTCACAGGAATAGACAAGTGAAAAATCTGGCTGCAAGAAACTTAATTCAAGCAGGGCTCTCAACAACGCTTCAAGGCCAACTGGAGTTTCCATTAAAACCCTCTATCTCTTAAGTCTCTGTATTTTTATCTGAAGTTCTTATTTAGTCTTGGTCAAGCCTCTGCTTGAGGACCTCAGGCTTTCTTTCCCAGTAGGGAAATTGGTGCAGCTGAAATGCTCTGCATACTTCATGGAACTGGTTCAATAAGCTGTTCTGTCAGATGCTGCACAGAGTAGTCCAGTTTTTAGTCATTTTTTGCACAGAGGAAAAGCTCCAGGTATAGTAAATCATTCTTGGCCTCTGCAAATATACAAGCACATATATTGTAAACTGTTTTAAGGTTTCTCGACTGTTTCCATCTATAGCAGCTTAGATATGATCTTCCACATTTCACCCACTAAGTAAACTTTAAAAAGCGTGACCCTCTTTTGTCCCATGAAATCTGATCTACCTATCACCATCAAAGGACATCTGGGATTCATCTTATCTTTTCCACTGGTTTGTTGATTAATAGAAATTGTTTTGAATGGGATTCAAACATGGCAAAACTCCATGGACCTTATGAATTACCGTAGGGTTAAATAGGAGGTCAAGTAGAAAAAGAAAAACCAACTAAATGTGAAGAAGCAAATGAAGCTATAAGTAATACGGCCAGCATTAAGTGCTTAAGAGGTGAAGATGAAACTCCTGTGTTTATTTTAAAATAGGTTTCATACATCAAAGGCGTTTCTGGTCATCTTCAAAATGATATGTGTCTTCATTGCAGAGGAGGAAATCTTGACCTGATAGGATGAATGGAAATTATAGGTATCCATCACAGCTTCAGTCTTTCAGGAATATCTCATGAGCCTTTGCAAGCTAAAGGTCATGTAACAGCTGTCTAGGACTCAGAGAGTTAGAGGAACAGTTGTTTCCTATTCACTGGAAATTTTCTTCCCTAAAAAGTCTTAATGAATAAGAAGCTTGAAGATAAATGGACTTAGACAAGACTTTCAAGATTATTAGTTATTTCTGATTTTTCAAGGAGTGCAGTAGCAGTGGTTCCTCATGTCTGCAGGGGCCCATAGGTAATTTCAAAAAGAAAACAAAACCAGTAAGATTTGAATATAGCACCAAGGCTGGAGTAACCTGAAACAGAACTGTAGTGCTTTTGTGGCCAGATAACAGTGCTGCCACATGTTCCAAGCCAAACACAGGCCATGCAGATGTGGTTAGCAAAATACCTTGCAGAACTACATAACCCATGCAAAGATATGCTGCACTACTACACTGACTTGGCCCATAACTTCTTGCTGTCTCGAAGTGTGGGCATACTCTTGTCTCTCAGTCTGCTGTGCACATAGACGAACTACATACTGTTAGATAGCTTCCAGGATCAGACCCTTAGGTACAGTAGAATGTAACTTCACTCACATCAATGAAACAGTGATAGCTGGCAGCTGTGAAGGCCCTTCCACCAAGACCCATGAGTATACTGAAAGCAGGCTGATTATTTTTCTTTTTTGTTTTTTTCTTTCTTTTTTTCTGACTTCAATTTTTCTCGCTTTCTTCTGTCCATGAGCCAGCACTGCAGAAATAAGGCGAAAGAATGTTGCCTCAAAACACCAAAGCTCTTATATAAAGGTGTGCAGTGTTTAGAAGAAAACAGCAATTTACTGCTTGAACAAATATGCAACAAAACACTGGCTTTGCCTTATCTGTTATTTCAGCAACTAGAATACTCATTTATAGGTTGTAAATTTATATCTTTCATTATATGATTGCACAAAGAGGTTCTGATCACCACTAACATATAATACAAACAATAAATTATGAGTTTAAAAAGCAAAAAAAGATGGAAAGAAATTAATAAGTAGTGCCAAGTTCTATACAGTTTCTACTTTTCAGTCTCAGTGACCTGTGTCTAATGGTGGGTAATATTCAGATGGTGGGTGTGTTTTTTAATATTGTCCATTGGTATAAAAAAAATCTATTACAGAGGTTATGCAGGTGTTATGGGTGTAGATGCAAGTACATGTGCTTTCTTAGGTGAAAGGAAAGTTGAGGGAAAGGGATCTTTAAGGCCTTCAGATAGATTTAGGATTTGGGATTTCATCAGGAGAAAAGTGGTGGGCCAGGCCATGACCCTTTTTCGTGTCTGTGTGCCAAGGTAAGTATGCATGTCTGCATTTCTGACTGCTTGAATGTATTCTTTGAATGGCTTCAAGTTTCACATGAAAACTTTTCTAAACACAAGCTCTACTATTTAAATCCATTGTTTTATTTTGATCATGATATCAAAGACTGGAAGTATTTAACTTCCTGACGTGTCACCTGCCGTGTCCTGAAAGCTTGTTTTATGTTGATAGTACATTTTTTTCTTCTTTTGATTTAAAAATAAAATCCAATACAACAAACATAGTATCGAATACTGTACAAAGTAGGATTATGAACTCTTTAGGTTGTGTGCTTTACAGGGTCTTTCTGTCTTTGTAAAAATAAAGCTACTGCAAGCCAGGAAGTTTTGAAGGTAGAGCCAAGCTTGAACCAAACAAGAGGATTGGCTTGTATCTCCAAAACAAGCCTAAGCCAAGCCAATAGGCCTGACTGTGTTCATTTATGGACAGAAAAAATCAGAGAAGAGTATGCACCAAAGATTTTGTGGCAGGAAATGAGGCCACAGCGTTCCTCTTTGCATGTCTCTATCTATTTGAAAATAGAGCTAAAACGGATCATAGGTCAAGATATAACTGTCTTCTTCATTCTGTTTAAAAGCAGAACATAAAGACCACTTTTCCTCTAATTTCACAGCTATAGAGGAATAGTGAATTTCCCACATATTTTTCTGCTCTCTTCACTCTGTGCTGCTGTCCACAGTTTGTCTCGTGTCAACAGGTTGCCCAGATCAGAAAAAGGACCTGATTGCCTCAAAGTTTTTCTAAAGATTTTAAAATCAAACTGAAATACTTCCATCATATTTTTTTTTTATCTTCTGTAACATATGAATAGAAAAACTGTCTGTTGTCTAAGTTCTCCAGCACTAAAATTCCAGTTATGAACTTGTACTTTCAACCTCCACTTTCAAGAAGGAGGAATGAGCCCTGGATATTGCTCTTTGATACATACTTCTCTATAGCAAGATTTAGCCCAGTTTTATTTATTTTTTTTTCTTTTATGCCTTAATCCACTTAACCTTTTGTAGCAGGAACACTATTACGTGGTACTTAGACAGCGGAACTTCTGGCCAGAGCTTGACCCTTTGATTTTGGCCTGCATCATACATCACATATTTGAAATACAAAGCAAATTAACTGAAAATTTGCTCTGATGGTAGAATACAAATTAGTCTTAAGACCACATTGCCACTACACAGTGAGCAAGAACCTGGATTCGTTATCCTGGATTTGAGCCAAAGGTATACAGATGAAAAAGCCAAGGTTCTGACAATTTGCATCCAAAGAACATCTCGATTTGCTTTTTATATCAGGTGTACTGGGTTCAGAGTAGGGTTTTATAGGTCTCACAAACCTCCTGAAGGATTAACGAAGGGGCTTTTTAGAGGTCTTCCCAGTAAAATAATAGTAAGTTGCTAGTTATTCAAGTTATAAAAACTTAGGTTAAAGAAATGCAAATATGTATCACATTTATCTGGTTCTTGTTACCCTACCAAGTGATGAAGCAAAAAAAAAAAAAAAAAAAAAAAAAAAACAAACTAGTGAGGAGAGCTCAAATAAACAAACAACTAAATAATATAATTCTTTTTTCTTTCTCTTCAAACACGAAGGAAAATTTGTCTGGAAAAAAATGGCTGTGCACACACACTTCTCCTCGTATGTGCACAAGTGGAAAGATCCAGCAAGAGCACTTAAGGGCTGTGGTTAAGACACGTACAGTGCATTTCTTATGTCCCAAGCATATTTACACATGGTCTTTCTGTTCTTTCAGTACTTTTGTGGAAAGAAGAAAGAAAGGTATAATTACCCAGTTGAATTATGTGTATCTGTAGCCATTTCAATCACTCTTCTTTGTCCAAACAGAAAATCTCTCCGCATCTGGCAGCTGTGGAGCCCAGCCAGCTGCATGATACTGCGACTGGCTGTAACAAACAGACCTGCCGATCTTTTCCTCTTTCTTTTCTTCAGGACTGTCCACCAGAAGCAGGTGATTTTCGTGCCCAGCAGTGCTCTGCTCACAATGACGTCAAGTACCAGGGACAGTTTTATGAATGGCTTCCTGTCTCTAATGACCCCGACAACCCATGCTCACTGAAGTGCCAGGCCAGAGGAGCAGCTCTGGTTGTAGAGCTGGCACCAAAGGTTCTGGATGGGACCCGATGCTACACTGAATCACTGGACATGTGCATCAGTGGCTTTTGCCAGGTAAGGAGAGAATCCCTACCCTAAAGCCTTTCCTCATGATTCCTTCCCTCAGATTTCTCATGTGCTTACTCTCCTCCTCCATACTTGTATCATTTTAGCATCTCCATTTTAATTATCTGTTTTCATTCTCTTAAGTTGACTTCTACCTTGTTTGGAAGAGATGTACAAATTCAAAGATTATTTTCTCATTTTATGCTGTTTCCTTGTTTGGGTATGGTTTTGGTTTTTTTTGAGGAACGTATAATCAGGTTTCGTATAGTTAGCTGCAGCAGCAGAAAGCAGCAGCATTTCAAAGCACCATAAGAAAATAATGGGTTAGCTTTTAGTTTGGGTATACCAAAGTTTTACAAGTTTATGAAATTTACCATTATCTTTGCGGATTATTGCTCTCTGTAAGTCCCAAACCACACAGCAGTAGATGAGGTACTAAACTATGAAACTGGAAAATCTGCCATTGATTTGCCACAGGACTAAGCGAGCTGCTGTATGTCTTTAGACCTCAGCTTCCCTGTTTGCTACAAACTTCACAGTGAATGGAGATCTACTGATCATTCAACCAATTTATTTGCATCCTAATTTGTTTCTATATGACCTTTGTGCTTTTACTTACATTTTGCTACTCTTTTGAACCTATCTACATCAGAATTTAGTCTTCTGAACTACATGTGGTTGTTGACAGAGGGAAAGAAATTTGCAGCTCAGCTGCATTTCCAAAGCTATCGTCCATCTCAAACCGAGGCAGTGAATGCATCGAATATTTTCCAGAAGTGTAGTGACGATAGTTTCATACAGCTTCTTCACAATAAAACATTTTTTTTCAAATATTAGCATTAAGTATTGTTGCTTACTATTTTGCTATTACTTATTTGCTGTTATAAATCTGTGATAGGTAAAGAAATTGATTATTAGTTGAGATTCACCAATTCTAAAAGTATTTTTAATGCAAATTTTTTTTTTGCAGTGAAGATATATTTTATTAAGTAATTTTTCCCAGTGTGTAGTTACCAAATGATTATGTTCTATGTGTACACGTACATGTGTATATATATATACATGTGTATATATATATACACATGTGTATGCTTTGAATTTTTTTCATGAGAAATAAAAGCTACACTGGCTGATGCATAATGTCAGAAGAGTGGGAAAATCTGTTCTCCTTTGAATAGATGACTGTGCTATATTGTCTGTCTATCATGATTTCAGCACGGATAATTCTTCTTCCTCTCCTCCATCTGTAAGTGCTCTTCTATGGATCTTTTCCTGTTTACAGCTAAGCCCAAAATACACAGCTAATCAGGTTACAGTGTCACTTAAACCTGTGTTTGATGTGTGGCTTTTGTACTCACTGGTACAGTGAACTTGCTTGATTCAGATACAATATGGATTTTAAAGAACATAGATTAGGTTTTCACATCAGCAGGCTCTTGAAGTCTCATAGAACCACTTTGGTTCCCTGATGTCTCTGTGGGATGAGCCTGGAGCACTGCTGCAGAAATTGGCCTGGGTATATGGCCGTTCCTAGTCATTACTTAGCCTGGGAGCTGATATATTTGCATGACTTCCTCAGACCGTTCAGGTCAATTCCAATTTTGAGGAAGGAGAAGTCCAGGAGTCTTTTCCACTCTGTCTGAAGCCCTGAAAGCAAATGGCCTACATTACTCCACCCTGCAACACTCATTGCTCTAGTATTAGAGACCATTCTCATCCATGCTTGCCACTAGTAACACTGAGGATCACTTGCTTATTTTGACAAGATCCCACTTTTGGCACTTTAATTTGTCATATTATCTAACAGTGAAAACTCTGACAGAAACTTCCAGAAGATTTTTACCTGTGTTGCTGTTTTACATTCACACAGGAGGACTGAAAGTGCCTGTTTGATGGCAAAGGAGAGAATGAAATGCCTTTGTTCTGTTAATTCTCTACAAACAGGCATCATCTGTGTTTCTACCAGTGTGTATTCATTTTTAGAGGCATTTAATCTCCCATGACAGCCTCTAGTAATGATCTTTTTCTTCTGCCAAAACTATGACAGAAGTCAGGTTAAAACAAAGGAAAGCATTGGAGAAAGAAGTCTAGGTATTTACATGTTGCTGGGATTTCAGTCTCCTGTAGTTCAGCTAGTTCTGGCTCCTGTTAGTAGATGTCTTTTTTTTTTTTTAGAGTAGTAAAACACCAGAAGAAAAATGCAAAAGATGTAATAATAACTTTATTATTTAGGAAAGAAGTGGCTATTTTTCCTCAGACTTGTAAAAAATGTTATAACAAGATCAGTTCTAAGTTGGCTTTCAATTTAGCCCAGCCTTTTGGTATTGTGATTAAAATAGCTTTTCAGTTTCTGATGTCCTCCTCATCAAGCTCCTGTGCCTAAATACTCAAGATGAATACTTATTTTTTTTAGAGTGTATTGAAGCCTAGATGCCTTCTGGGGAGGTAACATTTCAGAAAGTACTGAATTCTTGATTTCTGATAGTCGGGTCCTTTCAGACTGTGTCAGGCTGAACAGCTGAACTGCTGTTTCAACTTTTTGTCTATTACTCTCCATCCTCTTCTACCTCATATTCTGTGGATAATGAATTTTGATTTTGTTTTCTTGTTGTTGATTGTCATTATATTGAGATGAAAGAAATAATTTTATCCCCAGCATGATATCTTTCCAGCACACAGAAAGGAGTGGGGCAGAGAACCTTACGACTCATAAGTGTAATAGCCAAATGTTTAAATTGCTATCTCCATGCCAGGTAACAACGTTTTTGTGGCAGGCAGTGGTGAGGAAATAGGGATATCTTCATTGTATGGAAGGATCTGCACTTGCATTGTTAGACCTCCACTCCCCTGCCCTGAGGCACCGGTTTTCCTCTTTATGGTACCAAGGAGATTGGCACCACTGCAGAGATACTTTGTTCTGGTCTTTCAGCAGAAACAATACCTGCTGTTACTCCCAAGTAGACGAACTGTCTATTGTGGATATGTCTTTGATCAGCAGCACACAGAGCACCTTCCTTTGCTGGGAGGGGAGAGGGGGGAGCACATTATCATTTGGGAGCTTAGCAAAAAGAAAATATTCCAATGAGCAGTTTGGAGACTCCTAAGAATTCTTTTACAGTTACCATGAAGTCATATTTGTCCGTGTGTTTCCTTAGCACAGCGATAAACCTCAGGAAGGTTGAGTGGCACAGAGAACTAGTGCTGTAAGATGTTAGTATGTCCACACTTGCCTGGGCATTTTGAGAGTCCCCCCACTCAAACAGATAAGTTGTTCTCACTGAAGACCATGGCAAGGCTTCCAGTTACTATGCAAATCCAGGGCAGGGGGGCCACAGGCATTTTAGCTAGTTTCCTCTGTCATCCCAAGTGTCTTCTCATCAAGCCCGCATGCGTTCCTCTTACACACACTGGTTATAATACCACATAGACTAAGCAGTTTCAGCAGGGGGTTGGGGACATGCAGTCTCTCTCAAGCATTTGAGCTGTGGGAGAAGTCTGTTCCTTGATAACACAGATTATGTGACTGCCTGAAGCACCAGCGAGTCTGTGCTGGCACTGTTAGCAGCAAAGCACTGCAGCTGGATCCCCATTGATCCAGCTGGCAAAGGACAGGCTCCTGTCAACAAAAGAAGCCTGTCTGAGAGAAGGAAGCTTGTACACCCAACAGAAGAGAGGTCTGAGTGGCAATACCAAGCATGTCATGAAGTCACCAGAGCTAACAAAGGATCACAGTCAAATATAATGTGTCACAAGTGCCAATTAAATGCTTTTACAGTCTAGCGCTTCATAGTTTAGGAGAATGGGTCCAGAGGGCAGACTTCATTAAATTTACTTTTGCTTTCTCAAGCACATTGTCCCGAGGAAGCAGAGGGAGAGCTGCCTTGATGAGTTTTGACTTTGCAATTGCTTTTGCAATCACCCTCTGTTGTAATATTTTCATCTTCTACAAAACCTGGCAAATCTTTCCCCTGACAATGCTAAATAAGTGATCTGTTCAAACAGTATGTGTGACTCGTTTTGAGGAAATCAAGCATTTCAATAAAAACCTGATACAGAGCACTGACTAAAAAAATGAGGGGGTTTTGTTCTCCTTTGAGCACAACATGCAAAAGTAAAGCAGAAAGTTGTTCTTACTCTGCCAGAATATGGACATGTGAACTCAAATCCAGACAAAACCAAATAAAACTGTGAACTGGATAGGTGAAGACAAATAATCACAAAAGCCTCTTTTCTTCCTCTTGTCATCTGTTCTCTTGGAACTTAATTCTGTTTAAATGTTACTCCTTACAGAATGGCAGCCTCTGGATTCCTGTATCGTCAGAGAATGAACTGGTTATGGCTTCATTTCCACATCTGTGGGCTCCTATGTTGGCCCACACAATAAAGTGGTTGATTATGTATGACTGAACCTGAAAAATTCAATCTTTTTTATGTTGAAACGTTCCTTCTAGTGAAATTTGCATGTAAGGATAGGAACTGCATTTTTCCCACATCCAAAATTTTATTGCCTCTATAAATCCTCATTTAAAAGTTGTAGCTTTTAAATTGATTTAATTGCTTCTTTTTAAATCAAGGGTGGTTTCAGAATAAGGTTACAATTATTCTTTTCCTTGAGGAAAACCTGAGAAATAGGCATTTCTCTTGAGTTCCTTCTGCTGCTGGTGTTTGCTGTTTGCTTCTAGAGCTTTGGCTGAAACACTGGTTCTCAAGTATTGTGTCTGCTGTATGAGGCGGGTGAGGCTCCATGAGGGTCTTTGTCTGGGTTTAAAAATAGTAGTAGCAGAGAACCCTGTCTAGCTGGGAATGCTGGGCTGATGGTGCAGATACCAAGCAGGACCTGCAAATCATTTCTGGTGGATCAGTGGTACATAAGGCAACAAGCAATGACAAATCACTGAGCTGGCCAGCCACATGCTTAGTGTGTTGGAAGGTGGATCTCAGTCACTCCAGTAGTTCTGTTTAACAGTTAGGCTACTTATCAGTGACTGAAATTTGTTCACACTGCCTGA